AAATGAAAACAAAATAAAAATTTAAATGGGGGAACCTTCAAAAGAATAAAAATTCAAAAGAAAACAAAAAGAAAATTTAAAGAGGAAACCTTCAAAAAAGAGAAAAGGAAACCTTCGAAAAAGGAAAAAGAAAGAAAAATTCATTGAGGAATGAGGCTTTTCGTTTTATAAAATAATAAAAAAAGGGTGCAGACATTGAGGTATCATCATCGAACTGACCGGCTCCAGCTAACTCAAGAGTTATATTTTATTTTATATTTTATTTTATATTTTATTTTATATTTTATTTTATATTTTATTTTATATTTTATGCATTTGATTCCATCAGGATTCGAACTGAGATGAAGTGACATGAAGTGTACAAAAAATAAAAAGGCGGGAACTGGCATTTATTTTATATTTTATGCATTTGATATTTTATATTTTTTGCATTTGATTGCATCAGGATTCGAACTGAGATCTGTTTCTTAAAAGTGACATGAAGCGGACAAAGAAGAAAAAGGCGGGAACTGGCAGAAGAGAAAGGCGTGCTGCGGCGAGCCTCATCAGAATAATGAACCCTCTGCAGTCGGCGAAATGTCTTCTTTTTTTCGTTTTTTTTTCCCGGATTTTTAAGCCTGCCTGCTGAGCAATATTTTTCTCGAAGGGTTACATCGTCTGTCTCTACCGGAGTCGGAGTCGGGATCGGCGTCGGTTCCTGTTCCAACCATCGCCCCACAATCGACTGATTACCCATCGACGTGATGTGGAAGATGACACAAATAAATAAATGAATAAATAAATTAATTAATGAATAATTTAATAAATAAATAAATAAATAATTTAAAATAAATAAATAAATAAATAAATAAAAATAAATGGGGTAAATAAGTAAATAGATAAATAAATAATAAAAAATAGATAAATAAATAAATGGGGTATTCCGCTCTATTCACGCCCCACAATCGACTGATTACCCATCGACGTGATGTGGAAGATGACACAAATAAATAAATGAATAAATAAATAAATTAATGAATAAATAAATAAATGAATAAATAAATAATTTAAAATAAATAAATGGGGTAAATAAATAAGTAGATAAATAAATAATAAAAAATAGATAAATAAATACAGGGGGTATTCCGCTCTATTCACGTCTTTAAGTGGCATTTTGGACCGTATTTTGCAAATTATCCCGAAAATAATTTCAAATAAATAAATAAATAAATAAAACAGATGAAGATGGTGCTGATGGTGTTGGGGAAGCAGCACCGACCACTGCCTTGTCTAGAACGACACTGTGCATAATAAAGTTTGTTTTTTTGTTGTTTTTTTTTTTAAGAAAAAGAGGAGGGAAGTATATTAAGTAAGATAGTAAACAATTTATATACCAATGTCAACTCTTCACACCATCCTCGGCAGCTGGCTAGAAAAACCTATACCATACTAAGAGTCTAAGATTAACTTTTTTTCTCTTTTTTTTTCAACATTATTTATTCATTATATTTGTCATTTTTCTTCTTTTCTTTTCTCAGGAAACCTATGGAAACCGTACAGTTCGACAGACGTTGGTGGGTCCCGACTGTCATGAAACAAACTCTAGACAGTGTCGTGCAGTCGGGACTGACCACCGTCTTGCAGTCGGGACAGGTCAACCACATGGCCTCCAGTCCCGACTGCAAGTCGTGACAGACCAACGACGGCTGGAGATTCTCTCGGCCGGGACACGGCAGCTTGGAGGCAGCAATCCTCTAATACACGCTGCAGTTTTTTTTTTTTTTTTAATAATAGAAAAGCAGGCAGCAATCCTCTTATACACACTGCAGGGTTTTTTTTTCTTTTTTTTAATAATAAAAAGCAATCTTGGAGTTTTGCTGTCCTCGATATTGCCTTGTCGGACGGCCCACTTGATTTGCTGCCTTTTTTTCTTCAACCTGTTTATTTTCTTCAAAATAAAAAAAATCAGTCTTCAATTTTGGATGCTCTTCATGGCTATGTTTCTTCTTCCCCTCACACTCGCCTCTCGCTCTCGTAACCACCCCCCCCCCAGCAGCGCCCAAAATAATGCCGGGTCATCTTACCTGTATCTGAACTGAAAATGCGCCGAATGCAGATTGAAAAATGATCAGATTAAAAAATGACCGCGAACTCAATCAGTCAATCAATCAATCAACCACCCAATTAATCAATTAATCAATTAATTAGTCAATCAATCAATCAATTAATCAATCAATCAATCAATCAATTAATTAATTAATCAATCAATCAATTTATTCATCAATCAATCCAATCAAATCGAATGAAACATTCAGTCCAATCAGTCACCCAATCAATCAATCAATCAATCACTCAATTCAATCAATCAACTAGTTTTCGCTACGATTGCCGTCGTCGTCTTCGTTGATGGATCACTATGCTTGATGAGATGCCCTTCGTCTGCCACGTGTCATGCAAGCTGTTTTCATCACAGTTGCAGTCCATGAGGTTTTGACGCGAACTCAAATCCTCATCCTTTCGTTATACCTCTGTCGTTGATGGGAGGCTCTCCGACCGCCACGTGTCTCCAAAACTGTTCGATCGTTTCCGCACTCAAGGCCTCCTGCTATGCATCCTCTAATGCGCATCCCCAAGTTTGCCGTAATTGAAGGGGGAAGGGGGGGTGGGGGGAGGGGGGTCGCTACTGCACTGAGTCTCACCTTCCTTTTTTTTTCCTATTGAATTGTACGCCTCCCCTAGTTACACAGGTCGGGGTGCTGCTCGTTTTTTCAATTCAACCTTGCTCTGTAGCTCTTGCATATCAATAACATCCCGCTTCATCACACACACACACACACACACACAGAGAGAGAGAGAGAGAGAGAGAGAGAGAGAGAGAGAGAGAGAGAGAATTACGAAGAATGCTTGGAGCACGTGTGGTGTGTGC